TGCTTCACAAAATGGAGCGAGTGTTCCAGTGAGCTGAGTGGGCAGGCTGGGTCCACAGACCTGGAAGGGTGGGGTGAGGGGGAACAGCATGGAGAAGTGGCCAGGTCAAAGTTACTGCCCTGCTGCAGCAGGGACCTCACATGACCACAAGTTCATTTATTCATATATATTTATATGTGTATGTATATTAATATATACACACCAATCATCCACAAATATGCATAAATTAATATATACATATATATTTATATATACTTATATCAATTAATTAATTGATTTTGGTGAGGATTAGGCAGAGAGAACCTTTGCTGAAACTGTCCTGCAGACAATGGGGTGCCAGCTCTCTCCTGACTTCTCTGAGGGTGACAGACACCCTTTGGTGTCCCTTTGGTCTGGAACATCAGCATGGGCCACCCCAGCTTAGGCTTTTGTTTGGTGTGTTGGTGCCCAGCACATGAGTCCAGCCCAGGAGGATGAATTCTCTGATGAACATATATTACAAAATCCAACATAATGTTAATATGTCCTTGGAAATACAATTTGTACAAAATCCTTATCAGTGTTGTGTTGTTCTGTGAAAATGAACTTTTAATCATTATTATCATTTGTTCTCAATAGCCAGTAAGAAACAACCCCAACACATCAATCAATGAAACAGAGAAACCCATTGCAATGTATTTGTATCATGAAATCCTACCTAGCCATAGTGATTTTAAACTTTAGATACCGTCAACAACATGGTGGATCCACAGAGGTTCTAGTGAATGACAGAAGTCACGTGGGCTGGGGTGGTGCTTCAGTCCACACGGGGCTTGCCACGCAACATGGGGTTTCAATCTCCAGAACCCAGGTTAAAAAAAGGAAAGCCGGGCATGGCAGCATGCTACCCAGAAAGGAGGGAGGAGACAGGACGATCCTGGCTCACTGGGCAGCCAGCCCAAGGCAACTCAGAGAGCTACTGGCCTGTGAGAGACACTGCCTCAAAGCAATAACAGCAGGATGGAGAGATGGCTCAGTGGTTAAGAGCACTGGCTGCTTTTCCAGAGGACCCGGGTTCAGTTCCCAGCATCCACATGTCAGATCACAGCTGTCTATAACTCCTGTTTCAGGGGATCCAATGTCCTCACACAGACATACATGCAGGCAAAACACCAATGCACATAAAGTTTTAAAAAAGCAAACAAAACAAAACAGAGAAAAAAAAAACAATAATAGCACCTGGGGAACAACTCCTGAGATTGTCCTCTGACCTCTACACACAAATACACATGCAGACACATGTGCACACATATGCACTCACATACACATAAAAGATAAATGAGCCAATTTATCAATGGTTCTAGAAGTCAGAGTGTGGTGCCCTCTGGGGGAGGTAGTGCTGAGAGGAAGTCGTGAGTCTTGACTGTGACAATGTTGGGGACAGTAGCTCTGTTCTGCTTTCTAAGGTTTCAGTTCCTGCAATCTAAGAATATTAAATGGAAAGTGAAAGAAGTCATGCATAAGTTTTAAACCGTATAATGTTGTGAGTTGTCCCACCCGTGACATGACCAATTCTCTATCCAGTATTTCTGATATGCTACCTACCCATTAATCCCTCAGTGTAACGTGGTCTACAGAGGGCTTGGTGCCATCCTGGGTCTCTGCAGCCCATCAGGATCTTAAGGGGAAATGACTCTCTGGTTCTCAATTATCCCGATGCCAAAGGAACATATTTTGGGGTGACAGATTCTGCTGCCTTCCAATGTAAATACTTAACACTGAGTGCTACACTGGGTATGCAGCTACATATAGGTTATACCTTAATTAAAATTTTAAAAACAGTAGTTTGCAGATATTGAAGTTAGTATAAACCATGGTTTGGTACGATTTCAATTCTGCATAATCTAAAATCCTTCTACACTTGAATTTTGTAATGTTTTATGATATTAGCAGTAAATTTGCTTTCTATATTTCCAATTAGAAGACAACTTGACCCATAAGGACACGGCTTTGGTGCTAATGCGAATGATGAACCATCCGACAGAGAAGGAATATGAGGCTCATGTTGGCGGGCAAAGGTAACCCAGGGTGGGTTTCTTGGGAAGGGCTGGTTCTACTGAGGGCAGCATGTGTCCTTTCAATCAAGAATAACCACTTGTCTTGGTCACTGTCCTATTCCTGCGAAGAGACATCATGACCAAGACAACTCTTAAAAAGGAAAGCATTCAACTGGGGGCTTGCTCGCAGTTTTAAAGGTTAGTCCATACCATCATGGCAGGGAGCATGGCTGGCACCCGTGGTGCTGGGGTAGTGGCTGAGAGCTAATATCCTGATCCACAGACAGGCAGAGAGAGGAAGATACCAGGCCTGGAGTGGACTTTTAAAACTACAAAGCCTACCCTCAGTGATACACTTCCTCTAACAAGGCCACAGCTCCTAATCCTTCTGATCCTTTCAACAGTTCCACTCCTTGGCAAGTAAGCATTCAAATGTATGAGCCTATAGAGGCCGTTCTTATACAACTACCACACCACTCCAGGATCGCTCTGCGGGAAAGGGGGCCTTATCTTTTCAAAAGTCTCCATAATGCCAAGGAAATGTGTTTTCTTTAAGGAGAAAATACTCCATGAGGGTAACTGTAAAATTTTGGAGGGTTGGGGCTGGAGAGATGGCTCAGAGGTTAAGCACAATGACTGTTCTTCCAGAGGTCCTGAGTCCAATTCCCAGCAACCACATGGTGGCTCACAACCATCTATAATGAGATCTGGTGCCGCCTTCTGGAGTGCAGGCATGCAGAAGGAATACTGTAGACATAGCAAATAAATAAATAAATATTTTTTAAAAATTTGGAGGGTTAGGTAAAAATTTAGTCAGATGCACCATGTTGGCCTTAAGGAAGGAAGGACTTCCTTGAAGATCCATCCCATCTGCCAAGGGACCCAGTGAGGTGGTCAAGGAGGATGTGCAGAAACTAGTTACCATCCATCTCAGGCCTCTCAGAGTGTGGCGCAGATGTGAAGGCCCAGCTGCTGCAGCCAAAGTCAAGATGGTCAGAGTGCAGCTGTGTTACACTGAATGGTCTCTTTCTCCTCTTCCTCCTCCTCACCTCCCTCCTCTTTCTCCTCCTTTCCCCTGCCCCACCCCCTGCCTTCTGTGCCCCTTTCTTGGTCAGGACAGTGGCATCCCCTCCTCCAGGACAGCACTCCAGTTCTTCGGAACAGGGCTGGGAATGTCCCTCAGGGCCGTTCTGTCTTCTCCATGTCTTTGAACAGGGCCGAGGTCACCCCCAGTGCTCTGCCCAGCTGTCCCTCTTCTGTGATTCTTCACCTCATTATACCGTCACTTCCCACAAAGGTCGCCCTCAGTGGCCCACAGGGGCTTTTTTTTAAAGATTTATTTGTTTTTGTTTGTTTGCTTATTAATTATGGTGTTCTGCTTGCGCGTATGCCTGCAGGCCAGAAGAGGGCACCAGATCTCATTATGGATGGTTGTGAGCCACCATGTGGTTGCTGGGATTTGAACTCAGGACCTCTGGAAGAGCAGCCAGTGCCCTTAACCATTGAGCCATCCCTCCATCCCCCCACAGGGGCTTTTTAGGGAGATGGGGGAAGGGTTCAAAGTTAGGAGTAGTGGCCACCTGGGAGGCCACATGGGCTTCTTCCTCTGGGATGCTGAAGCCAAGTCTTTTTTCCCTGACCCACAGTGAAGAGGATGGTGGTCCTCTGGGTGGACACGCGACTGATGAGGGAGAAGTAGAGGTTGAAGAAGATGCCCTGACAGATGAAGAACTTGAATTTTTAAAACAGTTCCCCAGCTGGAAAAAGGATGCGGAAGAGCGCATCAGAAAACTCTATGCCATCGCAGACAGCATTGACAAAAGCCACCAAAAAGCCACCAAGACCAATGTGGTGTCTAAGTCTGCATCAGTCGTCTCTGGAATCATGAGTCTCATGGGTTTGGCCCTTGCTCCAGTAACTGCAGGTGGAAGCCTGATGTTCACTGCTGCTGGGGCAGGTTTAGGGGTGGTTGCTGGGGTCACCAATATTGTGACCAATGTGAAGGAAAACTCTCGAAACAAAAGAGCCCTAGCTCAGGCCAACCAAATCATGCCTAGCAGTGAGGAAGATTTGGAGTATGTCGGAGGAAAGAAGATGGCTTATGTCACGGCCACTGGTGAGGTTGTCTACAAATGTGGGCGCGCCTGGGAAACTCTCGGAATGAACGCCCGAGCCCTCAAGCTCTCCAAAACACACCCGCATCTCACCTCGGCTGCCAAGAAGCTCATTACTTCTGGCCAAGTCTCAGCTCAAAGCAACAGGCAGGTGCAAAAGGCCTTTGAAGGCACAGCCCTGGCAATATCCAAAGGTGCTCTCATAGCGAATGGTGTATTGACCTCCTTCTTTCTTGCCCAAGACATACATTCTCTCTATGAGGATTTGAAGGACCTGAAGGCTGGAACGCCAACGGAGCTTGCAAAAGAGTTAAGAGAGCGGGCTGAAGTGCTGGATCGGGTATTATCAGAACACACCCGTCGCTACAAAAGCCTGAAGAAGGTGAGGGCCAGGGTTTGGAAGGGGTTGGGAGGCATAAACTGTGATCTGTGGAGCCATGTAGAACAGCATGATTAAGGGAGCGTGTGTGTGTGTGTGTGTGTGTGTGTGTGTGTGTGTGTGTGCGCAGCAATGTCTCTCACCACATGGCATATGGCAGCCCCAGAGGTCTGTCCTAGCGAGGCTTCCATTGCTGTGATAAAGACCATGATCAAAAGCAACCGAGCGAGGAAAGGGTTTATTTGGTCTACAGGGAACATTAAGGAAAGCCAAGGCAAGAGCTTAGTGTAGGTACTTGGAGGCAAGAACTCAAGCAGAGGTCATGGAGGAACACTGGTTCTCTCCCTCTCCGTGGCTTGCTCACCTTGCTTCCTTGTGTCACCCAGGACCATGTCCCTGGGGTGGCACCACTCACAGTAAACTGGATCCTCCCATATCAATCATTTATCTGAAAATACCCCACACACTTACCTACAGGCAGTGTGATGGAGGCACTTTCTCAGTTGAGGGTCCTCTGCCCAGGTCTGTAGCTTGTGTCAAATGGAGAAAAGAAAAAAAAAAAAAAAAAAGCTGATCTCAAAGCTAAGAAGTGGTAAGCTGGGCTTGGTAACCCTCACCAAGCACCATCCCAGCACCCAGAAGGCAGAGGCAAGTGAATCTTTGTGAGTTCAAGGCCAGCCTGGAAAACATAGTAAATTCCAAGTCATCCATAGTGAGCCCCAAACTTGAACGCTAGGTAGTGGTGGACCTGGGGTGGCAAAGACTGGCACTTGCCACCTGGCTGCTGGGAAGCGGCTGCCTCATGAAGCCAAACCTGGCCTGGGGCTCTCCTAAGATTAGTGGTCTTCCTCCTCCCACCTCTTCCTCCATCCTCTTCCTCAGACAGGCCTTCACTTACACAGTCTAAGATGACCTTTAACTCACTATAGCCCAAGCTGGCCTTGAACTCACAGGAGTCCTCCTGCCTCAGTCTCATGAGTGCTGGGATTGTGTTTTGCAGCACTGATCCTGGCTCTTCTTTTCTAACAACAAGACTGGGACATCACAATTACATCCTGCTCACCTTGGGCTTTGTTTTTTTTTTTTCCCCTCAGAAACTCAAGAGACTCAAGTGAGGTGTTCTTTGATAACGGCCCTGGAGACAGCCTCAGCCTCTAACTTCGATCAAGAAAGCAAGCCTGGGGGCAGCAGTGAAGAGGAGCTGAGATCATGGGTCTTTGAGATCAATTCAAGGGGACCAGGGCGGGGGTAGCAAGGCTGGCGGAGGTGATAACTGGAGGCTCAAACACAGGGAGGTACCAGGGAGTTGAGGAACCTGTCTGACTCCATTTTGAAGGCAGAAGCCATTTTGTTATTTTGTTAAAAATAAGTTTCCATTTGCTGTAAGAGCTGAGTTTCTGTTTTCTAGAACCAGACCTGCCCCAACCCATGACCTTGTTTTTGAGAACATCCTGACCCTCCCTAATCAATGACCACCTGATGATAACTGTTGATTTTTTGCAATGTTTTTTCTGTACTTCTTTGTCTTGCGTCTATAAATTTCTTTGCAACTACTTGTGATTTTATTCCTTAAAGGGGCCCTGAGAAACACTCAGTACTACTCTCTTTGACCTAGGAGTCAGTGGATGGTCTACTCTTTGGTGCATCCCATTAAAATAAAACTTGTGTTAATCCCAAAGATGGGAGGAGAAAGATGACCAACCCAAATCATCATGGCCAGATTAATTAAAGCAAGCAACTAATGAAAGCAAGCTTTTTATTCATGTACAATGGGCTGCCTCCCCCTAAGGTGAGGTTCAAGAGGTCAGCACTGAATGTAAGGAAGACAAGGTTTTTATAGCTCGGGGTAAGGGGTTTCCAAATGGATTTGTTGGGCAAAATAGGCTAGGTTATAGGAGTAGGACATAAACATAACCAGTTAGTCATGACCCGAAACCAAGACATGGTTGCAAGGTGGTCATAGCAAAAGGTAGTCATAAAAAAACTTGTAGTCATAATTGAAAAGCTTTTGCACCCTGATAAGCCTCTCTGGCAATGCAGCAATCCAAATCAGACTGAATTAGGAAAAAAAAAAAGGCCCTGGTTAATGGATAAAGCATTCCCTGGTGATTCTCCAGCCCCTCAGAGAGGAGACAGGGACGAGAGACTGAAAAACCATGTGTCTGTTTTCTGGGATGCAGTTTAAATGCCCTGTGGGAGTGGTCTTGAGCATCTCTAGGGGAGGAGCCATGTTTGGCAGATCTTTCTGAGGGGGCAGGGTCTGGGCAGAGAGGTGGGGCTTCCACCAGAACATTCCAGACTCTTTGGGTCTATGGGTGTCAGGGTGCCAGGGACTGAGGTGGAGCTTCCACCAGAACATTCCAGACTCTTTGGGTCTATGGGTGCCAGGGTGCCAGGGGCTGAGGTGGAGCTTCCACCAGAACATTCCAGACTCTTTGGGTATAGGGACGCTGGTTCGAGTCTGACTACTTCCTGTGGGCATGGGATGACATGGGGAAGAGGAGTAGGGAATTGGTGGACTCACATTCAGCAGGAGGTGTGAGTGGAGGAGAATCCAGTTAATTGTCATCCTAGAGACCTCAGGCATCTGTTTCTTGAGGAAGCAAAGAAGGCAAATTTCTAGGGGAAAAAAAATAGATCATTATCATCTGCCCTAGTTGTACGGCAAAGATGAATGTAGAGAGCAGAAGAGCAGATAGGCCCTTTATTGGGTCATCTTGGAAAACTGGAGGGTGGAGGGTCCCAGCGGCTGGACAGACCATGTATCCTGAATAGGTGCCCACTTGAGCGTGGAGAGATGGTAACAACATGGATGTCACAGGAGCTTGGCAACTGAGGGGGTGGTGAGGATCACAGTATGAGGTCCTGCCCCTCAGGGCTTGAGAGACTTAGGAGCTAGCTGTCTGAGGAGTCCTCTCTTCCCTGGGGAGGGTGGGGCAGGCTCAGGGGCAGTTGGGTTCATTGGTATGGGTGCATGGAGATAGCAGTCTGCATATGAATGAAGAAGGGACCTCAGAAGAGACAGGAACCCAGCCAGTGGGGGAGTTTGGGGTGGGAAGTAGTGGTTGAGGAGGAAGAGCCTTCATAAAGGAACTCGAAGGGGCTCAGGCTTGTAGGAGAGTGTGGGGTAGCCCGGAGTCAGGTAAGGGCAATGGGGAGAAGAGAGGAAGGGCCAAGATAACCTGAGTTCAGTGGAGAGCTTGGTGAACTATTGTTTGGTGAGTCCATTGGCCCTCCCAACCTTTCCCGAGGATTGTGGGCGATAGGGAATGTGGAGCTTCCAGGAGACATTGAGGGCTTCTGACAAGAGCTCCATGACCCTGGAAGCGAAGACTGGCCCATTGTCCATCTGTATGGTCTATGGCAGGCCAAATTTAGGAATGATGTGTTCCAGGAGGACTGGGACCACCACGGCTGCTGTTTCCCTGAAGGCCGGGAAGGCGTCTATCCATTCTGTAAAGATGTCAACCATAGTTTTTTTTACATGGGGTGGGCACGTGAGAGAAATCAGCCTGCCAATCTTCGCCCAAATCGGTGTCTTCAAAGCTGGTGCAGGGGCTGACATATCTGAAGGACCCCCTGCAGGTTGGCAGGAGGAGTAGGACCTGTGGAATACGAGCTTGAAGATGCATGGAGTCAAAGAGGGCCTCTAAGAAGTGGAGCAAAGCTTTGGGGCCTGTGTGTAAGGTCTGGTGGACATCTGAAATGATGGACAGTGCTGGTCCTGAGGGAGGGAGGATGACGCGGTTATTGAAGTAGAACCATCCATCCTTTGTCTGTGTGGCACCTTTTTTGGGGGGGTGGGAGCTCGTCCCTCTCCTCTGGTCCATAACAGGGCTGATAAAAGGGTGTCAAAAACAAAATATGTTCTGTTGATCCGGAGAAGCTGGAGGCCAGTCCCCAGGCTACGGAGTCAGCCTTGGCATTGCCTACGGGCCACTGGGTCCTTGGAGGACTGGTGTCTTCTCCGGTGGATTATGGCTACCTCTGCAGGGAGCTCGAGGGCCTCCAAGAGCTTAGCTATAAGGGGTTCATTAACTACGGGAGTGCCCCTGGTAGTGAGAAGCCCCTTTCCCTCCAAAGGACAGAATGGATATGGGCTATAAGAAGGCATATTTAGAGTCAGTATACATGTTAGCCCATTGACCCTTGGCTATCTGGAGTGCTCTAGTCAAGGCGATTAATTCGGCCTTTTGTGAAGAGGCTCCCATAGGCAGGCGGGTCACTTCAACTGTTTTAGTGGAAGTGACCACTGCGTGTGCCACCTGGTGGTTTCCTGATCTGTCTGTAAGAGTACTTCCATCAACAAACAAGTGAGTTGGGGATTTGTGAGCAGCTGGTCTAGGAGACCAGGCAAGGGTGAGTGTAAGGCCTCCCCAGCTCCTGGGCAGGAGTGAGAGGAAGTACATGATGGGGAGGGGACAGGAAGGATTGCAGGATTCAGGGCAGGACCGGAGGCCACGGTAATTTGAGGTCTTTCTAGAAACAGTAAGTGAAAGACTTGGACTCGTGAGGGCCCAAGGAGGGGGAGAGAGAAGTGACTCAGAAGGTCTGGGAGGTGGTGGGTGGAGTATACTGCAGGGAGCTGCCATTCTAAGATGGCGCCGACTTCCTGGTAGCCTAGCTGTAAACAACTCCATATTTGGCTATGCTCCAAGGACTATGTGTCCCGAGGCCCACGCATGCGCGTATATTTGTAATTGGCTCTATGTCCTCAGCCTATCCCGTGGCTCCCCGTGCTCACATTCTGGCGGGATCCAATCACGGACTGACCCGTTTGCTTGAATCGTCATATAAGCTGCTGCAATTTAGTTCTCGGGGCCCCTCACCTCCAGCTCTCCCTTAATCAAGAGGCGCTCCAATAAAGTGTGATCTGAGAAGAATCCTCGAGTGGTGGTCGTTCTTCCTTGCTGGCCGAGGAGCTCGCCGCAGTATACCATGATTGGCTGGAACAGGGTGGTCTTGGGTAGCCTGCCCTGTGAGTTCAGCCACTGCCCCCAGGGCTCTCAAGCATGGCTACCATCCATGGACAGTGGGGTCCAGTTGTTGGGACAAGAATGCCACGGCCCGGTTCAAAGGCCCGACTGGTTGGACTAGAAGCCCAGTGGCCACTCCCCCACCCTTTCATCGGTATAAAGGTGATAAGGTCAGGAGGGGTCTGGAAGAGTAAGGGCGGGGCTCTTAGAAGGGCGTCTCTCAGTAACGAGGAGTGGCAGCGGACAGTTGCCAGGTGGGTGAGGGGCCCCTTGGGAGTCTCTCTAGCTGCTTGGTATAGGGGCTTGGCTAGAATGGCAAAGTCAGGGACCCAGTGACGGGAGAATCCCATCAGGCCCCAAAATGAGAGAATCTGGTCTGCTGTGGTCAGGGGCTGTAAGTCCCACAGGGCTTGGACCCTGTCAGAGGTGAGGGTCTTCGACCCGGGCTGAGTTGAACACCCAAATACACCACAGTGGGAGAGCACAGCTGGGCCTTTGATGGGGAAACATGATATCCCAGGGCGCCAAGGTAGTTCAGGAGCGAAGAGGTGGCCTGTGGGGACAGAGGCAGAGTGGGACTGCAGAGAAGGAGGTCATCTACGACGTACTGGAGGAGTGTGCTAGGACCAGAGTCGAAGGTGGAGAGATCCCGAACCAGGGCTTGGCCAAAGACATGGGGACTGTCCCGAAAACCCTGTGGGAGAACGGTCCGTGTAAGCTGTCTGGAGGACCGGGTGTTGGGGTCCTCCCAGGTGAAGGCAAAGAGGAAGTATGAGTCGGGGTGTTAAGGTACAGTAAAGAAGGCATCTTTCAGGTCCAGAGCAGTGAAGTGGGAGGTGGCAGGAGGGACGCTAGACAGGAGGTTGTAGGGATTGTTGGCCACTGGGGGGGTTGGAATAGCCGCCTCATTATTGAGGCAGAGGTCCGGAACTAAATGGTAAACCACAGAGGACTTAAGGACGGGAAGAAAGGGGGTGTTGCAGGGTGAGTCAAGAGGTATTACAAGTCCCTGAGAGAGAAGGTGGGTGATAATAGGCTTAAGGCCTCAGCGATGGGTTTCCAAAATAGAAAAACTGGGGTCTGGAAGGAAAGGAAGAACGGTTCTTAAGATGAATCACAACTGGCTAGTGGTGAGTAGCCACCACTGGCATTGAGGTATCTCAGACTTGGGGAACCACTGGATATGGGAGGGTAGGGACAGGACAGGAACTTGTGAGGCTATTAAGGGGATGAGAAAGTGGAACTCAGGAGAGGGCATGGGGGCCAAGGTGAGTGTAGCCCCAAAGCAAGTGAGAATATCATGACCAAGCAGAGGTACAGGGCAAGCAGGTATGGCCAGAAAAGAGTGTGAGAAAAATCATCCTGCAAGAATTCAGGGAAGTGTCAGGGTCTTAAGTGGGAAGGAGGGGTTCCCGTCCACCCCCACGACAGAAATTGGCAAGGGAACTGTAGGACCTGAGTGAGGCATTAAAACAGAATAGGTAGCTCCCATGTCCAAAAGAAAAATCAATGGACATGCCCGTTACCTACTGCGTTACCCGAGGCTCAGAGACGGCAACGGGGGTCACCAAGTCTAGGGTGTGTAGGTCCTCTGCCAAGCTTAGGAGTTCAAAGGCCACAAGAGTCTCCGTTGCCAGTGTTGGTTAGGCTGGACCTCTGTGGTATGGCATAGAGGATGAGCCCACATGTGGGCATTCCAATTTCCAGTGCCCAGGCTGTCGGCAGATGGGATATGGCCCTCTGGGCATCTGGGAGTCAAGTCAATACTGTGACCAGTGGCCTTGCTGGCCGCATTTGAAGCAGGCCTCTGGTGGAGTCATCTTGGGCTGAGCTCCAGCAGGATGGAGCCTCGCGGTCGACTACACTTGTCCCCTTTGAGGGGGCTCTGGTGGCCTCAGGGCAGCTGCTGAGGTTTGGGCTTGGAGCGTAGCCCTTCTGTTGTAGCCTTGTCTGTCAGGTGGGCTTGGCTCTCTCTTCTTGAGCATTAAAAACTTGAAAAGCCATTTTTATCAATTCCTGGAGAAGGGTTTGGGGACCCTCCTCAGTCTTTTTTAATTTTTTTCCTAATATCTGGCTCTGACTGGGAAATGAAGCGGGTGGCCACTGGGGAGGCCAGGTCAAGGTGAGAATATTGAAACGTGGTCTCTCGTAAACAGTTTTAGAAAAATGGTAGGGTTTTCATCAGCTAGCTGTGTGATCTCTCGGAGCTTATCAAAATTAACAACTTTGGCTCATTAAGTCTTGCTGAAAGTGTCCAATAGCTTTTCTAGTACAAAGTCCCAAAGTGTTCCATAGTCTTAACAAACAAATCATGGTATGGCCTATCTCAGCAGTATCCAGGTCTCTGGTACCAACTTCTGTCTTAGTTAGGGTTTCTATTGCTGTGAAGAGACACCATGACCATGGCAACTCCTATAAAGGGAAACATTTAACCAAGGGCTGGCTCACAGTTCAGAGGTTTAGTCCACTGTCATCATGGCGGGAAGCAGGGCTGAGTGCAGGCAGACATGGTGCTGGAGAGGAGCTGATCCAGTTCTGCATCTGGATCCTCAGGCAGCAGGAAGGAGGAGTGAACCACAGGGGCCTAGGTTCAGCTTCTGAAATCTCAGAGCCCACCCACAGCGACACACTTCCCCCAACAAGGCCCATTTATTCCATCAAGGCCACACCTCCTAATAGTGGCACTCCCTGTGAGCCTTTGTGGACCATTTTTAGTCAAATCACCATAGGCTCCCTACTGAGTGGTCACTGCTGTCCCGGGACCTGGAGGTCCACAGGGCCTCTGCAGTGCTGTGGTGGGTTCGCCTGCCCTTGGCCTTGATTCTCCATCTATGAGGTGCACATGAGACCAGTGTCGAGGGCTTTAAACCACTGTGAGATGCCCCTGAGCATGCGCTGTGTCACCCAGCAGGCAGCCAAAACGTGATAGATTCGCAGCAGCTGTACCCACGGTGTCCAGTTCCCCCTTGCCCGTCCCAGGCTGTCTCCGTGTGTGTGTGTGTGTGTGTGTGTGTGTGTGTGTGTGTGTGTGTGTGTGTGTTCTCTGCAAATGCCATAGCCAGTCAGCAGAGAAAGATCCATGTGAGGCAAGAAGGAAACCCAGTTCAACACAACTTAGTTAGCCGGTGGTTGTTCCAACTTCTAGACTCTGATGCCAAGCAGTTTATTTCTGACATAGCTCAGCAGCACAGCACAACTTTGGAAACAAGGTTTCTGGAGACACTTACCACAGCAAAGGTTACATCAAAACTCCTCCCCAGCACACATGCCTTTTGCAAAGTTATCTGTGACCTCTTCCACAAAAAATGGGTTCTAAGACTCCAGAATAAACAAACATACTAGTCTGGGGGATGGGAGTGAGGACTGCCTCTACAGATAGAAAGGTCGCCAGGTTATTAACTACGTCCAATCCATGGCAGAAACAGGTTGAACTACCTTCTGTTGAGAAAAGCCTGCGTGTGTGACGTCCTTGGTTTCTCTAGTGCTTATCTGTGAACACAAGGACCTCATGCCCTGTACACTACTGCATCTGATTCAGATGTGACATCCTTGTCACAACCCCACTAGGAAGACAGCATTAGGACTAATAACTCACACCTGAAATCCTTAGACACAAAGTGCTTTAAAGATAAAAACTGGGTAGAAGGTTCAGCTGGGAAAGCGATCGCCATGCAGGTATGATGACCTGCATTTGGTCCTCAGCTCACACAGTAAAAAGCCACCATGCCTCACCCCTGTACATGTATGTGTGTACATGCCTCATACATGAATACTTATACACAATTAGCCCATGCATTTGGTGGGAAAACCTGACCTGAGCCTCAGGGAGGAGGCATAATGTAGATGTCCTGAGCACTCCATGGTCACCTACTCTCTGCACTTAGACTAACTGTGAGTCCTGAGTTAACCACCATCCACTGCAGGGAGAAACTTCCCTAAGAGACACAGAGTATCAAATTGCCCTCTAAATCTATCCTTATCTTTATCAGCTTATGCTATAGTGATTCATATACAAATGGTGCAGTCTGTCAGCCCCATCTGGAGCTTCCACAGCTGCGGATCAACCAACCACAAATAACAATATTGGATTGGCAGAGAGATGCATTCTCATAATCCCAGCACTCAGAAGGCTGAGCCCAGAGGATGAGGAGGTTCAAGCCAGTCAGGCTCATTGACACCTCACTGTCTGGACCATTACTTTTCCTTTTGGCTTGGGAAAGTACTGCACTAATATTGAGTACATACAGATGTTTCCTGTTACCATGAATTGCTACCTATTTGCATATCACTTATATTGTATTAAGTGCTGTAAGTCACAGGAGGGCAGGATCAGGACCATACAGGAGCACTTGCAGAGGCTTTCTGCAAATACCATGCCACGTTATCTGAGAGACCTGAGCATCCCCAGGGTTTAATGTCTGAAAGGACCCTGGAGTCCTTCCCCAGGAGTATCATAATGTCAACATGTACACACATATGTACACATGGCTGTCAATACACCCACCACAGGGGGATGGGACCAGTGAGCATTCTGACCCTGAAACTCTCCGACTCCAGGAAACAATTACCTTTTCCTGGCCTCTGTGTCTAAGGATTCTTTGTGCTGAAGATGTCTGAGATTGCCCTGTGCCAAATATAATAAAGTTTCCATCTTTTCTGTCCAGGCTCTGCCTAGAAGCAACTTTTAGGACCCTGGGAGCCCCGGGCAGAGTAGAACAGGAAGGCAGTAATTGTGAGTAGAGTCAGGGGCACCGAAGAACGTGGCATTTCTGGTCTGGACGCTTCTGCAGCCGTTCCCTGACTTGGGTTCCTGTAGACATCAGATTGTCTCGAGTACAGTAGAGGCTGACGCACACATCAGATCCCCCGTGAGTGTACTTGCATATAGGCACTTATCGGCATGTGTGTGGGATATTTATGGATATGTGCGTGCTTTGTACTTGACTCTCTTAGGAGACGAGATGCTCTCTTTCAAAAGCATTTACTGCCGGGCGGTGGTGGCGCACGCCTTTAATCCCAGCACTCGGGAGGCAGAGCCAGGCAGATCTCTGTGAGTTCGAGGCCAGCCTGGGCTACCAAGTGAGTTCCAGGAAAAGGCGCAAAGCTACACAGAGAAACCCTGTCTCGAAAAACCAAAAATAATAATAATAATAATAATAATAATAATAAATAAATAAAAAGCATTTACTTATTTGTTTGTGTGTGTGCACACTGACACACTGTCCACACCACAGCACTCACGTGGAGGTCAGAGGGCAGCTTTGGGAGGTTGGGTCTTATCTTCCACCATGTGGGTCCCAGGGATTGAACTCAGATACTGTCAGGCCTGGCAGCAAGCGCGACTACCCTCTAAACCACCTCTGTGGCCCTTGAGAGGGCCATCCCTCCACTTCATCCCACCTTGCATTAAAAGCTAATGACACTCTGCATTCTTTCCCCTCTTCGATTGGGCCCCCGGCCCAGTGAGATGGGGGAGATGATTCCAGACGGCATGCAGCTGGCTCAGGGCTGGACCGGCTGTCCCCTGTGGGTAAAGCAAGTCAGAAAGGGCACAGTGTTCAGAGGTCTGGGGGGGGGGGGGGGGGGGAGTCACCGGAAGAAAACGCCAGAGAGGTCTGGGCAGAAAGGCTTGCTGGGGCTGTGGTTTCAGGGATTTCAGTTCGTGGTCAGTTATGGAAGGAACTGCTCACCTCGGGACAGCCAGGGAGGAGGGAGAGCAGGAGGGAGAGCAGGAGGGGGCAGGAGGGGAGCAGTGGAGGAGGAGAGGGAGAGGAGAGGTGGGCAGGGCAGGGCAACAAAGGAATAAAAAGAGAAAGAGAAGAGAACTGGGCTCCAGTCCCTTTCCTTGTGCGGACTTAATGACCTCACTTCCTGGCACCAGGTCTCTCTTCTTAAAGGGCCCATCACCTTTTGGGCTGGAGATATAGTTCAGCTATTTAGAGCATGTAGTGGTCTTGCAGAGGCCCCCAGTTCAATGCCGAGCCACCATGTCAGGTGGTACACAACTGCCTATAACTCCAGCTTTAGAGGATCAAACTCCTTTGGTCTCTTCGGGCGCTTGCACTGGTGGGCACATAAAACACACGTATAACTAAAAATAATAAAAATAATTTCTAAAAAGAGGTTATGTTACCGCCAGCAGCATCCTGTACTGCCCACCAAGCCTTCAGCACGTGGCCTCTAGGGGGGCATTTCAGAGCCAAATCATGACAGCGAGGCGGTGGAATGTGGTGGTGGCGAGGGTGTGGGCTGGGGATCCGCCAAATGGGCCAGAAGGAAAGAACAGGCCGGGGCAGAACCACCACAGAGCAAACTCGGGGAGCGGGGTTTGCTTGGCCCTGCACCTGGTATGGGGTCAGGCTGTGCCCTTCTGTGGTCTGTCACCCAGTCAGTAACAATGAACAGCCAGCTCCTCCTGTCACAGAGAGCAGAGGCGGAGAGGGCCTGGTGGCTGGGTTCCCAGGCCAAATCCCATTCCCTCTGCTCTATGGCCTCCGAAAACTGAGGACATGGGCACGGAACTATCAGCTTCAACCCTGTGGTGTGTGCCTGGCTTCCCACCAGAGAGCAGGGACCCTGTCCGGGAAGAATATGATCTAAAGGACAGAGAAGACAGGACAGGGACTCCCCCCGCCCCCAGCTCTGTGGTGATAATGGCCTCCACAAGTGGGTGGAGGCGAGGACTCTATGGGATAGATGCAGCCTGTTCCTGAGAGGTGGGAGAAGCTGTTCTCTCCCCCCTCCCACCCCCTCACCCCTGCCCGCCAACCGCCAGGCCAGACAGGGAAACCTGCCAGTGATCTCGGGAGGGGACTCCCCAGTGCAGCCTGAGCTCCAGATGGTTTTTCCATGAGTGCTTTTCCAGAGTCCAGAACCGGAACCACAGCAATCCAGAGACTGGGCTAGCCTCCCTCCCCAGGGCAGGGCTTCCCTTGGCTGCCCTGAAGCGCACCATGAGGTCTGCAGAAAATCCCTTCTGCTTCAAGCCCACATTTTCCCTTCTGTAGACAGTTGAACAACGACCTCCCCTCCCCCAGAGCTGAGCCTGAGACCATGGGACCTGCAATGGGACCGTATTTGGAAACATTTTCCGAGGATTAAAAAAAAAAAATCAACTGAAATCTGGAGATGAGATCATCCTGGAGCTTGTCGGAGCTGAGAAGCCAACAGAGTGTCCTTGAAAGAGACAGGGGACGGTGGGGGCTCTGAGGAGCAAGTAGGGCTGGAGGGAGAAGTACTTCAGTCCCAGACATGGTCTCTCTTAGCCTACCTTCCTGCAAGCAGATCCCCCGCCCCCCCCCCGCCCCTGCTCTGTTCAAGGCATGTGTGATAACAAAGAATATCAAAGCCTGTAGCCACGTGACTCCGGAGAAGCTTGGGGAACTAGCGGGCTTGCAGAATTTGCCAGAATTACCTCCTCATTGACTGTTTCTTCCCATCTTCTGACATTAAAGACCTGAATTCACGAGAGGAAGGGGGAGCAGGGAGGAAGAGGGGGAGGGGGCGAAGACTCTAACCCGGTCACTGAGTGGGTACAGCCTCTGCTGCTGGGTGAAGTGTGGGGAGGGCTGTGGAAAGGCCAAGCCACACAGGACTTAAAACTTCTGCCTCATCATCCAGTTTAACGCGACAGCGAACTGAGCCACAAAGACGAAGGAGGGGGCCTGTGGAGTGTGACCTGCTCCTCTTGAGAAGAGTGCTTCCCTGAAGGAGGGGCTGCAAACAAAAGGGGGAGCCCTCCAGGCTGAGGCAGCCCCAGAGAGACTGACCAGGGAGTCCACCAACCACACTTTACACTACCCAAAAGGCCCCCAAAGTGCTGCCCACGGCCCAAAATGAGTTCCTGGGAGGACACCGAGCCCCATCCCACACAGCACTCCCTGCCCAAGATTCCCCTGAGGCTGTAGCTGGCTGCCACACAGCTCACACACTGTGCCTTTTGGCTTCTGGGCCGCTGGGACTAATTTTAAGTGACCCTCTGATTCACGCTGGAGCCCTGGAACCGCCCCTGACTCCAGCCGTTCCTTGGACTGCAGGAGCTTGGCCAAATGCTCCAAGTTCAAAATCCCTCCCAATGAGCCCTCTTTCAAAACCTCATTCTTGACCAACCCACTTCACAAATTTTCCCACCCAGCCGGACTGGTCATCTTGGGGTTTCCAGATCATTCCATGTTAGGTTTCTGCTCCCCAAGCTTGTACTAATCATCTCTCAGACCCTCCTGACCAGAGCTCTTACGCTCCTGCCTGCTCCTGTACTTGCCCCTCCTGCCCCATCCATTTCCCATGCCAAGCACAACCATTAGTAAAGCAGATGTTTTCTGGTCTCAGGCAATGACCATGGCAGCAGTGTGGCCACCCACTTCTGGCCTCACCCTCCTGGCCCAGAGAGGCATGTCATTGCCCTCCCTGTAAGATCTCACTGGCTAAAGCAAGTAGTGGCCCTCTCAGAGGGGTCTCTAAACCTCTCACTTGGTCCTGAGCACTTCCCTTCCTCCACTGTGGCTTCACTGGGAGACCAGGGGTGTTTGGTAGCCCTGAAGAAGGAAGGTAGGTCCTCTGGAGCTGGGTGGTAACATAAATGAAGCCTGGACCACTCAGGCCAGTGTGACTGGGGGCTGTTTGTTACAGCAGCGTGCTCTGCCTCCTGCCTCCTCTCACAAAGCCTCAGGTGCATGTCTTCCCACCTCCTTTGTCCTCACAGTGCAGATCGGCCAGTCACTGTCCTCCGCATGGAGCTGCCAAAGCTCCAGGGTCGGAAGTCTCTCCTCCACTTTCTCCCATTTCCTCCACATCAGCATCCTCAGGGCCTGAGCCAGTTGGTTTTGGTTTTGTTAACTTGACCCAAGCTAGAGTCATCTGGGATAAGGGAACCTCAGTTGAGAAAATGCCTCTATCAGGTAGCCTAGGAGGCATTTTCTTGATTAATAATTGATGTGGAGGGCAGAGTCCACTGTGGGTGATGCCACCCCTGGGCAGGTGGTCCTGGGTTGTATAAGAAAGCAGGCTGAACCAGCCAGTGAGCAGTGTTCCTCCGTGGCCTCTGCTTCAGTGCCTGCCTTGGTTTCCCTGAACGATGGACTGTAATCTGTAAGTCAAACATACGTTTTCCTGGATACGTTGCTTTTGTGTTTATCCTAGCAATAGAGAGCACACTGGAACGAGGTCCTTCTTTTTGCCCTGCTTCCTCTCTGCACACTGATAGAGCCTACAGCTTAAATCCAAACCTGTGCTCTGTGGGGCAAACGGAGGCATCTCCAATGGCTGGATAAACCCTAGGCTGTTCTGGGATACAACTAGGGAATGAAGAGGAACAAACCCTCCCCCTCCGGTGACAGAATAAGATGGGGATGTGCTAAGTTCAGAGACGCCCCAGCCCTGCTGCGGAGGATGTGAATGCCTCCCAGGACTGCATTGCAGAGTGGAGGGTTTGATTTTGGGAGACGCAAGGATGCCCTGTCCCTTCTTCTTCCGAGTCCCCCTCCCACGGGGGAGCTTTGGAGAGCATGCCCTCGGTTTTCCAGAGGGCAAGGGGTACAGGGTGGAGGAGCTGGGAACCCAGGAGAGGACCCCTGGGGAGGACACCGCGTTCTGCGTGGACGCTGCCAACCCTGGAGCCTCTGCCCAGGACACGCTGGCAGGCCAACGCCGCTGCAGTGACTGTACAGACACGTGGATGGTCCAAGCTGGGAAGGCGGGGACTCTGCCCTGCCGGCCCGGGGCCTGCAGGACTCCAAGTCACGCGCGCCATCTGTCGGTGAGCCGTTCAGCCTGACCGCTCAGGCCGCTCCCCTG